TCCACAATCTGTCACTGCCTAAAATCAACGGGAGTGGTACGACCAATGGAGTGGAGAAATTACCGAGTTTACGGGACGTGACTCCGTCGCTCGATATTACCAGCACCGATTTCCACTGGAAGTTCCTCATGGGCGCGGTCTGAGGGAAGATATGCCAGAAGCCTTGTGCGCCCACCATATGGGTTCTGGCAGTGGTTCGATATGTTGTCGCGATTATCTTCGCGATCAGCCTCGAAACCGGTCACCTCCACATTCCGGTCGCCGTGACCACAGGTTTCCACATCTGCATCAAATGCCGGTGCATATTCTGCGGTCTTTCTCCGGCGGCATTTTTTTCCCAGGAGAGACGATCGCGCATTACCGACTGACCGGTGGCTCCGTGTCGGTCCTCCCATCCAATGTCCGTCCGTGCCGAGGCCCAGTCCGCCGCACGCCTTCAAGGCACTTCCAAGGCAGTCCATCGGGCTGAATCCACATTAAAAAAAGTCACTTGCGCGCCTCCGAACTTCTACATGTGTTCTTGCTCCGCAATTCTTCCGTAATTTCTTGCGACGGCGCGGATTATTTCCGCCTCTGGTTGTTAGCGTTGAACTTTCCATCGCCGTGCATCTCTTGTTACTGTCGCTTATATACCCAGCATCAATTATCGCATCGAATATAGATTCTCGAGATGTTTCTGAAGTGTGCCTTTGGCTTGTGAAAGTCTGGACCTGAGTTGAAGCCAAGTTTTCTTACTTGGAGCTGTGAGCGAAAGCATCAGTTTATGCGAAGAGGCGCACGCCACAGGCGTTGTCAGACGACCTCTCTCGTACTTGTCGCAACCACACAACTTTCAGCTGAATAGTGAAGTTTGAGAAGATATATGATGGGTAGCTCTCAGCGACTATGACTTGACGATTATGTAGCGACTTTTCAGTCATAGATCACCTCGTCAATAGTAAGCTCACTGCTCAAGTCTGCGAACCACTGCTCACCATTGTTGTGTATAGCCATATTAACCGTCTACACTGCACATCCTTCCTCCTAAGTTGTTATCATACAGGAGAAACGACTCGAAACCCCAGTCATGGGCTGCATGTCAAGCAAACTCGCTGGAGCAAAGCACGACCAAGACGGATATGGACCCAACCCAGGGAAGCCGCCTGGCCCTCCCTACATACTTTCCGACGGGACAAACGCCAGAAATACATCTGGTAGAATGTACTACGGTGGTGGCTATGGCGGTGATGGCGGAGGGTACGGCGGAGGAGGAGACGGTGGAGGTGGAGGTGGTGGTTGATACCGATTGTCAACAAGGGCACGACGTTTTCGTGTTTGTTTGATCTACTTACTGTCTTAGGATTTTTTTGTTCTCTTTTATAGGCAGCAAGATTTATGTGCTTCCAATGTATCAGCCCTTACAGCGCCTATGACCTCTTTCTAATCTCTTCCATTATTTAATGGGCGGACTCAGTCATCTTGTATCTCGTGTGTGTTGCGGGAGTCATGAGTGGCTCGTCGTTGATGGATCATCGTGGTACCATGGGAGAGAGGATGACAGCGCCTATGACTTCCGCCTAGCATAGCCGCCTTCTCAACCGTGCCTCATATCAGCTACGGCACAGTCGAGAAGCATGATTATCTCTCAAAACCGTCACTTCAATTAGTCCTTCACCTTTCCAGAATTCTCGAACCTCGTCCGTTCTCTTCATCGATTGCTCTCACAGACATTGCTGTTGTCGTCACAGCGCCATCCTTCAGCCATCTTCACTTCACCGCAAGCACTCGAGATAGTGCACGCATATTCGCACTATTGTTTCAAGCTAGAGATCACCAAGCCATGGGCTCTTTTCTATCAAAACTAAATCGCGAAGTCGAACGCGTGAAAGACGAAGTAAATCATATATCGGCAGTGTATGCTGCTCGGAGAAACGGTGAAAGAGCCCGCGGGTATTTCGAGGGTGCTGCTGCATACCCAGGCCAAAACAGATCGTATGGACGCTACAACGGAAGACATGATAGGACCACCCCGTTTTATGATGGGGGTGATATGCACGGCAGGCAGTACAGTGAATCCCATCGAGCAGACAGCGGGTTTAGTAACGGTGACGGTGCTGTTGTAGGGATGTCTAGTGAGGGCAGAGTGTCTGATGAAGGAGGTGGAAGTGGAGAAAGAGACTAGAGATAGTTGGGTGCACACGAGCTAGAGATTTTAAAAGACAGAACGTGGAATGCGTGCAGTCAGGGCTCTGGGTACTGGCAGAGTTATCTTTGTGCTGTTATTCAAAAGCTCAAGGTCACCGCGGAACATGCTCACATTGTGTGCTTCACTGCGATCTCTTCCATTGTGCACGTATAAGACGCACACAAAAGCTACGTGCCTCTCATACTCAAAAGCTCCGCTCATCATACATAATCATACAGGCTTCCCATTCTCCGCAGCCAAAAAGTACCTCCAAAAAGAACAGTCCATCCTTTCTCTACCCGCTCAAAGCTCCACATCTTTCCCCCAAACTCTCACCATGGGCTGTTCATCCTCCAAACCAATCCCTAAACCAATCTCTCGAACGAAAATTGCAAATCCACCGGCCCCTTCCCCCACGCCCACCAAGCCAGAAGCAAAGACTCAGCCTGAACAATCAGCACTGCGCAATACTCCCACTCCTCCATTCATCACAGCGCCCTCGACCCCTGTTCCGATAAAAGGACCTTTGGCAAGCAAATATGGGTATTACGATACGGGGTTCACGTGGATCAGCACGCGGGATAAGATGATGGAGTGATGGGTGTGCTGGAGTAAAGGATACTGATATGTGAAACTGAATACAATGAGTGCTATATGAACTAGACGATGAGTTAAATGTCTTTTGTGATGTGATCAGCCCTAGAACGTGAAACACTCATTCCCACACCAGTTTCTCAAAGCATCGTTTCGCTCATTGGAGATGTGAAGTCATAAATCGAATCTCTTCACTAACCACAGTGAATTCACCCCTTATCCCTTCTCTTCTAGTTCGCGGAAGCCTACTTCGCATACACCATCGAAGTTCCTACTACCAACCACCATCATCATCAGCCACTCCATCATCAACCATGGGTTGCACGTCTTCCAAATCCACAGAACCGCTCCCTGTCCCTCGGCCCATCGAAACGAACACCAATACTCATGTCACTCCACCCACCGCTGAAGACCCCAGTACCATCTCCGACATCCCACACCCACAGTCACAGCTGCCTCGAGCAACCATACGACAAGTCACGCCGGACGGCCCTGTCCTAAGTAACGCCAAGATACACGATACGCAGGCTGGATCGAACAATATACCGTACTACGAGAACAAGCTATGGCGGCGAGGATAGGGTATAGAGGAAGAAAGTTTGTATTCAAGTTGAGCATCATTCGTATTCGAGAGGAGCCATGGAGAATACTAAAACAAGAAAGAAAAGCTAGAGTAGAGAAACATAACAGCGTAACAGACCGAGTCTCAAAGAAAGCAAGCTCCCAAGCCATATCTCATACAAGCCCAATCATACAGCGAAAAAGCTCCCAACCCATAAACGCCGCGCAATGCAACACACACCAATCCTGACCCACTACCCAGCCTAATTATACCTCCTACTCTTACTCGCCCACTCCTCCTCCCTCCTCGCCTTCTCCGCCTCCAACTTCTTCAACTCCCTCGCCACACCCCCACTAGCCCTCCACCAAACATCCGTACCCGTGCGAATCAGCCTCTCAGCCGCACTAACCGGCCCATCAACCGCGGGCCTCACATCCAGAAAGAAAACCGGTTGTTCGTCTGCCTCACCCTCGCCCTCCGCTTCTGACGCCTCCGGCGCACCCTCATAGTAATCAATAACATAACGAATCTCTTTACACCCCTTCTCATTACAGCGCTCGACAAACCAATCATGGCGATCAAACGGCGGCGCCGTCCCGAATTTCTCAGGCATAACGTAACCGAGCCACTGCATAATCGTTGCTTTGGGCGTCGGTTCCGTGGGACGCCCCGTAAACCTGAGTAGTTTCGGGGGCTGAACATCCCTATGATCCCACGTCGTCGTATCAAACGGATCCTCATGCGTGCCCAGTTTGAAATTCGCGACGTCCTCGCCTTGCTTGCATATCTCGTATCCTTCCTTCAAACCACGACTGAAGCGCCGTTCCCAGCCCATGATCTCCGCCCACGCGCCCTCGTTGAGGAAATTGTGCACGCCGACCATGCTTTCTACGGCTGTGATGTCGGTGTCTGTGTAGCCTTTGCGCAGCATGGCGTTGTACATTTGCTGGGGGGAGGGGTACTCCCAGAGCGTGCCGTCGCCTTTGGGGATCGTGGAAGTCTCGCGGTCGAGGGGGAGGTTGACGGATTGGGTGGAGGCGCGCTCGTTGGAGAGTTCAGAGAACATGTTGTTGAGGGGGTTGAGGCGCGAAAGGAGGCCTTGCTTTGGGGGTGGCTCGGAGGCGCTGGTGGAGGCATTCTCAGGTGGGACGTAGGGGCAGGCGCCGGCGGGTGTCTTCTTTTCGGCGACGACGGGCGGGACGGGTTTCTTGTGCATCGGGCATTCTGGCTGGTGGGTTGTTAGTGGGGAGTGTGTATGGGGAGTTGGAGTGCGTACTGGTGGTTCCATGCTGCTCATGCTGCCTCGAGGCATGGCGTGCGGCGCAACACGTGCAGCAGGTGCGGCGGGTGCGGTGTCTGCCCAAAACCAACCCATGGTGAGTATTCGTATGGAAAGAGTAGTACGGCGAAAAGAAGAGGCAAGCAAGGGTATATAGGGCTGAAGAAGATGTGACGGGTGGCGGAGATTATCGGGAAGAACAATTTCGTGCAGGGTCCTCGTCGTCATCGCTCTAAGCACGTTAGGCGCACTCCGATTGGCTCAACATGGCAATGTAGTGAAAGTCGATTTGGAAGCTATATTTGGATTTCTTTTTGGTTATGTTCTTGATATCGTACGCATATGCGCAAATGTTCTACATATCTTGGTCAAGACGCCTTGAAATGTGCTCAACCATATTCTTATGATCCTGCCGCCTTCGCCAACTGACCAGTGCCCCGCGAGCTGAAGATAGCCATGATACCAAAACTGCCATAGAACAGAACCATGGGGTACGCTACCAGTCCCCGCATGGAAGTCATGCGCCCTACGAGGTGTGTTAGTTCCCATCAAAAACCCCATCGGAAGGCTCGACTTACCAACAACGGTGAACATGGAACTGGAGCTGTAGGAACACCATGTGATGGCCAGGCTGGTCAGAAGGTATCCAAATAGCCCGTCAAGCGGCACAATGATTCCAAACATCGATACCAGAACGAGAGGGAGCAGACAGTATCCGAGCACCGATGCCGATCGTGGGAACGTTAACGAGGAGCCGAGATGCGAGCCATGCGGGTGACCGTGGTCTCCTGGAGTCGCTTCGACGACAGGCGGGGACATGAGCGAGAGGATCTGGTGGAGAAGGATCGTGCCAACGAACGCCAGGCCTACTTTTGTTAGGTTATGTCTTTCTCCAAGCAGCTGTTTGACTTACCGTAGATGTAACCGAAATGAAGCTTTCCAGACAACTACCCCACGTTAGCTCTCATTTCTTTCTTGATATCGTGTCTCATACCAGTAACGACGTCCCAAAGATCAAGAAGAACAGTATCGGCCCTGCCACATCGCTGTCGTCCATGATATGCTGATCGATCCGACCGAACGGATTCAGCACAGCCAACGTCTTCATCTGTATATGCCTGAAGTTTACTCCCAATTCTTCCAGTAGCGGCGGCTCTCCATCGTATCCTTCCGTGCCAAAAGCCGCCAGCCACCCCGTCCGCAGCCCAGACACACCCATACCCATCTGCCCACTCACGCCCGGTGCAGCGAACCCCGCGCCATACTGCGCGGGATACGCTTGACTCGCCGGTGCGCCGTAGTTTGCTTGGAATGGTGTGGAATGGCCAGATACTGGCTGGTTCGAAAATGACGATGGGTAGAATTGGAGGTTTTGCGCATTCCCAGCGCCGTATTGCGGGTTTTGTCCGTAGCCGTATTGCGCCATTGTCTGATATGCGAGTGTGTGAGGTATAGCGACGAAGAGGAAGTGTCGGAATGTAGCGATCTGGCGTTGGGTAGGTCGTGCAGCTGGTGCCTGGCGGAGGTGGAGCGGACGTGTCCTGGGGAGATGTGGTACGTGGAGCGAGAGACGACGTCACCGGAGATTTTTGCGCGGAAAGGACAGATTGCGTGAAACGGGGGTGAGGGCTCGCGCGCTGAAGTGGGAAGAAGACAATTGTTTGTTTGCAATGTTGGGGCTCAATCTGGCAGCCACATGTCATCGTGTGCATCGACCCTGGCCAGCCGTCCACAGGCCGATGGGGGCTTGGCAGCGACACGAGCATCAGAAGCAAAGCTAACGCTGTGACTATTTGACAACCACGTCTAAGCTATAGTTCTACGAAGCTTATGAATGTTTACTCGTTACGTTTCTCATCCTCAACACGGGATTAACATAATAGAGGGGGGTCCGCTAACTGGGCCGATATTCTGGCGAATATAACGCAACGGCTTGAATCCCTCCTGCATCACCCAGTCCAAACCAATAACCGTACCCTCTTCATTGCGTATGAATACCAGGAGAAATTGCTCGTAGCTCGAGTAATCCACCAGGCATCTTGTCTCCATCTCGTCACTCGATCCAGGTAAAAAGCTAAACGTGTGGGACTGGTAGTGTTCCAGAAGATGGCACTGCGAATCCATGCGATTCCGTTTCATCTCCAATTGATCTTCGCTTACCTTGTACACATGAATAATCCCCTGTATGTCTTCGTTCCGGTACGTCCCCTCAAGGCTTTCGAGATGGGGACATGGCGTATTTAACATGCGATTCTTCTGTAAATCGTCTTTCATCTTGGTATATCGGTTCAGACTACGGGTAGATAGCTTCTCCGCTCTCATACCGAAATCCACTTCCGGGGTCATATCGAAGAGTGATTGAACGAACATCTGAGCAACGAGATCAGAGCAGTCTCCAGCACTCTGCGCGTTGGTCAGGACGACCACAGCGGATTTGGTCTCCGGAAAGAGATAGATGGAGTTGAGATATCCGGTCACCTGGCCTCCGTGGTATAGTGTTAGCCGGGGCTGCGATTCTCGTCCGATGATATCGTCTCTCTGTGGGCCGTTGGTAGATAACCACCCAAGTTGTGTCGAGGGAATCATGTGTCTTGCCCATCCAAATGCGTACGAGTTCTCATTGACGGTATCGTCCGTAACGGGTATCTTGCGAGACGTGATTTGGCTGATTCGCCTTAGCGGGTTTGTCGATGTGCTTTGCGCGTCCGTATGGTCGTCGTGGTGTACTGCTTCGTGTTGTTCCGTGTTGAGACTCAATCCTTGAATGGCCTCAATGGTGCCTTTCTCCGTCTCCTCTTCTTCCAACCGTTCCATTACTGCTTGCGACCAGATGAGCATTTCCGGAACGTTCGACCAAATCGCCATTGCAGCTCCACAAATAGTCTTGTCTGAAACTTGAGGCATTCGTAAACGTACTGGTCGCCTGTCGTGCAAGACCGTATGCCCCTCAGCCAGATTTCCACCCTCGACTTTCCATCGAGAACACGTCGATCTACTCATTCCGAGAGGCTCAAAGATTCTCTTCTTGACGAACCCTCCCCAGCCATCCACGGCATCCTCGCCGCCTACCGCTTTAATCACTTTACCCACCAGAGCGTAAGGCCAGTTGGAGTAATGGAATCCGGTGCGAAATGTGTCGTGAACTGGCATGTTGGCAGTGATATGTAATAAATCTTCTGGAAGAAGCAGTTCTGCGCCTGCTGCGCCATACCACGCGATGTCGAGCTGTGGAAATCCGCTGGAATGAGAGAGGGCTTCTGATAGACTCATGTGTTTGCCTATGACAGGATCTTTGTTCTGGGTAAAGGGTATGTATGTGGATAGCGGTTCGGTCCAGCTCAGTCTGCCCTCGTCGACGAGTATACCGCAGGACGCAGCGATGAAGGCCTTGGTGAGTGATCCGATCATGTAGAGAGTTGAATTGTTGACCGGGACATAATTTTCGTTCCCATCGGCGAATCCTTGACTGTGCTGGAGGATGATCTCGCCTTCGTGGAGGATGCCGATGGAGACAGAAGGACATCCGGTGATTTTCATCAACTTCCGGACTTGGGGTAGACAAGCCCGTACTCTATCGCAGCATCAGTACAAGTCCTATCATGATATCGGCATCGTTAGAGTGACCATACCTCTTCTTTGCTGCGGTAGGATCCATGGCTTATTCTTGGATCGATAGTGATAGCGATAGAGCGACTCCCGTTATGCGAAACACTGGAGACAGGTAGCTTTGCTGGATAAAGTATCGACCAAACAATAAACGCAGGTGAAGGTGAGGAAGTCGAGGACGACAACCACGGACGTGTTGACGTGCCGCGGATAGGCGACAACGCAAACAGGCAGGAGCGTGTCTGCCGAAACGGGCTAGATCGACCACGCCCATATCCTGCATGATGCATAGGTGAAAGAAGGAACGAACGATCACACAGGGAAGCCGCACCGCAGATTCGATGCTAGACAATTGCGCATGCAAAATTTCATTTGCATATTTCGGAGAAGTAGGTTCGGGAACCGTGTCCATAGATTTGAGGGGGGTATCTAGTCCTAATGCTAAGAGGGGAGGGATGTCATAAATCATAAATCATAAATCCAGCCATAGCTGTGTTCGCAAGCGATACGTTTGCTGTTGGCCGAGGAGGTATCCAAGCTGTAATCAAGCGACGAAAGCCAAGTTCAATACATCTCCCTGGTCCTTCGTGAAGTATAGTTGCACCAGTCGCACTGTAGACGAGTTAGTTGATGTTTATACGTTTTATCGCACCATACTAACCAGAGTGTCAGAAGACGCGTCGTTATCCTCACGGCAATACTCGTTGTTGCATTTCCTGCAAGTGCGGATGAAAAGCTCCTTACAGCTGATGCACGTGTGGCCACAGCCAAAACAGTCACGTCTCACGCCGATAACCTGTGTTTCTTCACGTCAGCCTATTTCTTGATCAAAGAGTGAGCACATACCTTGGCGCGCAAGTGCCAGTCTCCAGGTGCAATTATCCAATATAGCCAGGCTCCGGGTTCCGGAATCCAACTACATCGTAACGGCCTCATGGTAGCATCGCTGCTCGCGCGCCAAGGTAGGTCCTTCATCCCCACATCCCGTCGCTACCGGCTCCGGCCATCATTTCCTCACGGAGGCAGTGTTCCACGCAGAGGCCCATATGTACCTTGATGGTTTGCTTGGGGAGCAGTTGACTGCTCCCGTCGGGTTTGAAGCTCTCGGTGAGCTCCGTCTGCTGTAGTTCCGTTCGTTGGGCGGTGACCGATCCAGTGTAGCAGTTCTCGTCCCACCACTTGTGACATCTCTCGCACCAGCGTCCTTTCAGGCAGTCCTCGCATCGCACTATGAGAGGTGGAGGGGCGGATCCGTCGAGAGTGTGTGGTATTTGCGCGGCGCGTACGGAGGACCCGTGCAGTGGGACCGGACTGAGTAGCGGGTGATGAGACGGACTGGAGTCGCCAAATACTGCCGGGCCTTCTGGAGAGGAGTGGCACGTCTCGCAGCCGGACGGACCTAGCGCTACAGTGGCTACTGTAGGCCGCAGGAACGAAGATGGATGTGGTGCTCCGTCTGCAGTCGCATCTCTGACGTACGCCTTGCTTGGGTCGTGGCGTGGTCCTCTGCACAGAACGGCATCGAAGGCGATGATGCCCTCGCACGCCTGGAGTATCTCTGCCCATTCCGGGGACGGCCGCTTCGATATGATCTTGCCAGAAGACTGGTACCACTTGTCCTCGGTCCGCGCTAGGACAGCTTCCAATGCCTGCTGCGACTTCTCGTTCCATTGCGCCCCGATCTGCGCCCCTTGTGAAGTCGTTACGCCCTTGGGAATATGCGGGGAAGGCTTCTTCGTGACGGGCGACGCAGGGCGCGGTGTTCGATCGCGGGTGCCAAAGATGTAGATGCCTTTGACTCGAGGGGTGCCCGCAGGTCTGGACGGTCGGACCGCATATCGCAGGTATTGCTGGAGCTTCCGCTCGTTCAAATGTTTGGCTTCGCGAATCGAGAGTATTCGGACGTTGAACCGTTCCTCGGTAAGCAGCTCCTTGACTAATTCGGCTGTTACGCTGAGCCCGTCTAGTACGAGTGTGTGAACATTGCGTAAGACGTGCAGCTTCTCAAGTCTGTTGAAGATATGACGTAGAGGGCCGCTATAGAAGTCGTCTTCGGTGAGGGCTTCGTCCATGCGCTCAGCACGGAAACTGGTACCGCCGATATCAAGAGGTCCATCGAAGGGTACAATAGCAGACTTCACCGGAGAGAGATCCAAGTAGCGAAAGGCCTCTGGCGACTGGAAGACAACATGGTGTAGGGATTTGCAAGTTCGCGACAGGTTACGGAGAGCAGATATTGGCAGGTACGGGGCAGTTTGGCGCAGGATCAAGGTGTTGGAAAGCAGGTCCGCCAGGGATGTAGGAAGGTCGTCACTGAAGGTAGAAGGGCCCATGGTGAGGGCTCGGGGAATGCAACCAGAGAAGTTTGGCCAGAGGTTAGATGGGTACTCACCGAATCTTTATTACACAGCGCGAGGGCAGGGCGGAGTAGCACGTGCCACTGATCTGACACTGCAGGTGTGTGTTGGATGAGCAAAAGGAAAGACTAATCGAGGTTGAGACGCTGCAGGAGATGGGGTTGTGGGTGCGTGGGATACCGCCGATGCTTCGTTCCCTGCGGCGATCGCAAGCGCAAGACCCTGCCAAGAGGCGTGTTAGCAGGACACGAAAGCTTCCTGCATAGGACCTGCACGATCAGGCCGCGATGAAGCATAGATTGGAACACGTCTTGCAGCCAAGCCCGCGCTGCAAGTCTTGGTGGTCGAGTGGAAACAGGCTAAAACAGTCGCTGCGAGATGTCAGGTAGGCGACGCGACGCGCAAAGCCGCCGGGGGATGTTCGCCCCACGTTGGCCGCTTAGAACATGAATCGACATATCGAAACTCACCGGAGCATTGGCATGGACGACACAGATATGGTTTAGGTGCCCGGAGAGATTCTCGCATCTTTCTTGAGACGCGTACTTCTGTTGATCAATTATGATGAATTATTCAAACACGTCTACACATATATGGGCTGTATGTTGCGAGATACTCAAGTATGCTCGTAGCTCTATCGGTGTGTCTAAGAAGCTTAGTCACCGTCTCGCAGTTGTATCGGGAAACCATCGCTTGCACTGTGAAAGATGGTAGACCAAATATAGAATATACATGACGACTACGAGTGGTGAAACTAGACTTTTGCTATATGCGTTCAACGGTGGCGGTATCTTCACGCGTTACCACGCGAGGCTTATCGATAAGCCAAGCGGGCCGAGGCGAGGCAGCGCAATGACGCCAGTCATTCACCGAAGCTTCGAGTCGCGAGGCGCATATGTCAGCCCTTCCACGCCTCTGAACTACGACGTACCATCATTCATGTGTTCCCACCACAGTCATTACCTTCACCTTTCTGTACCTGACGCAAAACAACCATGGACCCGGAAGCAGAGCCAGCAGAGCTGAAGTGGTCCGCGCAATACAAACTCGCACATGCGACGCGAAGCACGCTATCCGGTGATAAACTACTCCTCCCTCCATCGGCATTAGAGCAGCTCCTTGCCGCACCGCCTGTCGTTCACGTCGACGCGAACCGACCGCACATCACCGCTTTCGATCCTTTCAACCCATACACCTTCAACGCCGAACGTCACGCACGAGCACAAACGCAGGACCGCTTCCAGCAACTGCCCCATCCGCTTACCTTTCGCTTGGTCAACCCGGATAATGGCAGAGTTGTACATGCAGGAATACGCGAGTTCTCCGCAGACGAGGGCGAAGTTGTGCTGAGCAGTTTTCTGAAAGAGGCATTGGGAATCAAGGAACAATCGGCAGAGCCCTCTAGGGATGCCAGCCCAAACGGTCAAGACGAAGATGATGTGGCTATGTCAAATGGAGCAATTCCTCTGGGGACAGAAGGTGCTGCGTCTACCAAGATTACAGTACATGCCAAACAACTACCTAAGGGCACCTTCGTCAAGCTACGGCCTCTCGAAGCTGGCTATGACCCGGAGGATTGGAAGTCGCTACTGGAGGAACATCTACGATCCAACTTCACAACCTTGACGAACGGCGAGGTCCTGGCTATAAATGGTGGTCGAGGAGTTGATGGCAGGCGCGAGGAGTTTCGCTTCCTTGTAGACGGCTTCAAGCCCGAAGGAGATGGCATTTGCGTAGTAGACACGGATCTGGAGGTGGATATCGAAGCATTGAACGAAGAACAAGCACTCGAGACTATGAAGAGGATAGCTGCCAAGATGCATCGCGCTCCCGGAACATCACAAGGCAGTTCCACCGGCGGTGCGGTCGACATATTCAACGCGCAACCTGGACAAGTGCTTGACGGCGAGTACGTCGACTACGAACTGACATCCTGGGACAGATCTCAGGGGCTGGAAATCCTTCTGGACGAAGTAGAAGATGGAGATGAGATCGACCTATACGTCAGTCCGTACTCTTCGCGACAAAGAGTTCGCCCACGAGAAGACGAGCATGTTTTTGCAAACATAAGGAGTCAATATCCGAAACGCATACGATTACAGCCTACAAACATCGAACTAGAGGACGCAGAAGCTGTATGGATCTCAGTTCACGCATATCCGTCTGAATCACCCTCAAGCACGCCCAAACCCTTCCGACTGAAGGTGTCGATTTTCGACCCCCAGACAGAAGCAATGGATGGGCTGGACGAGGCTCTTGAGAATGCAAAAGCGGTGGGTCCGGACGAAGTGATTTGCAAAAACTGCCAACAAGTCGTGCCTAAGGGATCGTTGTTCTTGCATGAGAACTTCTGTCTAAGAAATAACATCCTTTGCCCCCAAGGTTGCGGTCAAGTCTTCCAGAAGCGCTCTCCAGCTTTCCAAAACCATTGGCATTGTCCACACGATACGTTCAGTGGCAACACCACATTGAGCCACCAGAAGCACGACACTCTCTACCACACACCACAGACGTGCTTAACATGCGACATGGAATTCCCGTCAATGCCCATGCTCTCCCATCACAAAACGACCGTATGTCCCGGCAAACTAATCCTCTGCCGCTTCTGCCACCTCCAAGTCCCGCAAGAAGGCGACCCCAACGACCAATCCCCCGAACTCCTCCTCTCAGGTCTCACACCCCACGAACTAGC